CACACAAAAACCCCCCCCCCGCCGCTTCCCCCCGGTGACAGCCTCTTGCCCGCCACAGGCTCTGCAGGAGCCGGGCCCCGCTCGCAAAGCTACTTACGGGCTAGATCTGTTCCGCTCCGTGCATGGTCCGACGACGGCAGCCAGTACTCGGGCCGGGACCGGAGGCCCGGTTAAATATCCCGTTGTGCTCTCGCCTTCCGATTAGTTAGCCACTCACAGCGAGGGACACGGTTTTAATCAGATACTGGCAGCTGACGACTATCCAGGAATGTGCTATGATGTTTTTGCTGCCTGGACTTAGCTACACCCCCTCAACGTGTCGGTGCTCACAAGCTTAATTTAACCCCTTGGGAGCCGCCGCTCCGGCCCCCGCTGCGGGGGAGGGAGGGAGCTGGGGCCCGGGACGGACCCTTGCCAGGAGGGGGTCGGAGCCCCCCGGAGAGAGGGGAGACTGGGGGGGACCCTGCAGGGACACGGCAACGCGTGGCGCCCGCTGTTCGCAGGGCCACAGGTATCTGTGCTTCTTAGGCAGCAACGGCCCCAAAACGCCCTTCTAGAAAAGGGGTCCCTTCATGCGTCTGCTTAAACGTGGGTGCGGTGATGGTGTTAAAAAATCCAAGTCCAAGCCAGCAGCTTTTTTTTTTGGTTGGTTGGTTGGTTGGTTGTTTTGTTTGGTTTTTTGGTTGTTTTTCCAAAATCACCAAACCCAGAATACACCCCCCCAAAAAAAAAAAAAGAATAAAAAAGTGTGGCTAGCTGAACCAAAGCATTGGGACAGTGCAGTTCCGTTTCTAGGTCACATCCAGACCTGATCTTTGTACTTCCCACTCATCTTTATTTAAACATCTATCGTGTTTTACTTCCCAGCGTAGTACAGCTGTTATCCAACTTGTGTGAAAGAGCCTCTGATAAGAAATATCGCATTCTTGTCCTTGTAGCAGAACGTTTTTATCTTCCTCAAGACTGTGAACTTAGCCTAAGATTTATTTTCTCAAAACAGTGCAAATATTTCTGTTCAAAACTGTGACATTGCCCTCCACAGCAATACCCAATATAAAAAGAGAAAAAAAGAGCAACACTTTTCCTACAGTTTTAATACATTTGATAGATATTTTTAAATGTTTTGGAAGAGGGAAATATTTAATACAAAATTATTTTACCACTGGGGAGTTCAGGGTTCAAAACTGGTGGATGCATTTGGTCATCATTCACATCCAAAGCTACCAAACGGTACAATACTTGCCTTGATGTGGTGTGGTACTCTGTTTTTAGGAATAGCGAAAGTGGTAGGAGCCCTGTACCTGAGGTGACCAAAAGCTGATAGTTGCCTCTCACTTGCCTGTATCTGTTGCTTCAGAAGTGCCAATTTTAACCAAAAAGACGAGAAAGACGCATTTTTATGCACTAGCCTAGTGTTCATGGAAGGAAGTGCATGCCACATAAGTAAGAAGGCATTTGCTACAGTTAACAGGTTGCTGGCTACGCTATGTCAGTATTTGCAGGATTAGATCTGAATTCCATGGTACACTGTTCTATTCATGTTTGACAATGTTGGTTTTGTACAGCTTGCACTGTACTGTACATTGTTTTGAACACCTTGTGCTAGACACCTACCAGCAGGACTGGAGCTTCTTGGCCCTGGTGCGGTACGTATTTTAAAGAATAATACTTTGCTCAGTGTGCTTTGTGGGAGCTGCACAGACTGCCTAACGTGAAGGATGACATTGTGCCTAGTTTAAACATGGTGCAGTAACAAGCAACTTGTATAAAGCAGCCCAGCTAGGTGCTGGCATAAGCAGGATTACCATTTGTGCTTTGGCCAACACAAAACCCAGGCACATTTCATTGAAATACCTTGACTAGTTGTACTAATGGTTACAAATATGATTTATACTATTTGTTGTTGAATTTGGAAGAGATGAGAATGCTTTTCATTTGCCAATAAAGAGCAATTTAAGAGCCGTTTTGAGGTGCAATGAAATTATATCCACTACAGAAATGGCAAGAGGTCCTTCACTATCTACCAGCATTTGTGACATCACTAATAATCTCATGGAAAAACTTTTTTACTGATCAATGGTTAATAACTAACTGGAAAAAATTACAGTTTTCTTAGAGAATAAAAAATGCCTCAAGCCTTGAAGGACTGCACTTTTTATTCTGTAATTCAACTCAGAACAGCTCCCCTGATGTCCCACACTGTTAAGCTAAATGTTAAATTTCAGAACTGTTACATTAAACATATGTAATAGGATTGCCTTCTGAACGTAGGAGGAATCCAGGCAGAAAGCCCCACAGGAATTCAGTTATTTCGTCTCTACTGTGCTGCAGGACTTAAAGGGCATGCTTTACACTTTATGAAAAGTAAAAAGGATTTTTATTTCTCTGCAGTAAAAACAGAATCAAATTGAAAATGGCTGTTATGACTTTAAGCCTGACTATTAAAAGATTATAGTAGAGACAGAGTGCTGTTTTCCAGGATGATGACTTTTTTTCTCAATTTGTTGTGTCAGATCTTACTATTGCTGGCATAGGTTCAGTCCCTACCGAAGGCTTTTTTTGTTTTAAGTTAACTGCTTGTTGTGCTGAACAGTATCAACCTCAGCACTTCCCAAACACAAGCCTTTTTTCAGCAGGTCTAAAATTATCTTGAAGCTGCAGCTGGAAACCTTCACCTCAGTGAGTTTTTCTATCGATTTTCCGGATGTTAACTCTGCCCAAACCACAGTCTGTCATTAAGATCACTGGGATTCCAGTCCGGGTGGAAACTGGGGTAGTAGTGTGAAATAAAAACACCAAAGTGCAGAGACCTTCGGAAGACATCAACTTAAGTGAATGCCTTGAAAGTGGTTTCAGTAACAGTTTGTGAAAAATCTGCTTGCAGCAAAGCAATGTGGTAGCTAATCTTGCGATGGCTTGCTCAGGAATGCCTGGTTTATTATTAAAGTAATCTTTTAAGATTTTATTGGAATGTATTTTCACAGTGGTGTTCCTACCTTTGTGGGCTTTACTATGTGTGTGTCATCTTGTTCATAATTAAACTTTTCACTGACAGGCCTGGGACTTTTTTTTCCTTAAACCTCCCACTTTGAATGCTGGAATTTCATCTGAACTTTAAATACCGTCTTGGAATTTGCCATAAGGTAAACTGTCTGCTCTTGTACACTTCCCTGCACTGCTACAGATGTTGCAGACACACAATAAGTGACTGAATGTAAAAGAGCTTGTGTCTTAATGTTAAAAAAAGGCTGACAGGAATGAAGTAGTTGTTCAGATGCTCAGGTTCTCCCTAGAAAATTCTCACTTTGGAATATATGGGAATAAAAATTAATGGAAAACTGGCCTAGAAAGTACATTTTCAGGGAAACTTCACTGCTGTCAACTGGAGAAGGCGAAGTATGTCAAAGGAAACATGAAGGAAGAATTTGTACTTCAGCCTTTGGACTTCTCAGCCAAGTTCCTCATGTGACTTGGACTTGCTGACCACTTCTTTTTATAAATTCAGTTAAGGATAAAGTCCACAGAGTATCTGAAACAAAAAGCATCCTTGCTATTTTAAGATCTTAAATTACAATCTATAGCTCATTTTAGTATAGCTCTAGGCATATGTCTGGGAGATGCAGTCCATACGTTAACAGCCTCAGTACCCAAATGCTGGATCATCAACAGACCTCAAACTTGTCTTGGAAATAGTTTCTCCTGGAATCAAGGATAGACTTGAATAACTATTTAATCGAAGGTTTGTTTGTTGAGGCCCAAGTCTGGGCATCTCAGGCTTAGACTGCCACAGGGATTTAAATTGGTAATATGTTCAGCCATTTAGATGTGATTGAGTAGAAGAAGTATAAGAGCTATTGCCCCTCAGCTGAGGCACAACAGGTCTTGGTCTGTGCCTTAACCAGCTGCAATGTGAGGTAAACCTAATTACTTCAAATTGCCTTCAGTGGTGTTTGCTAACAATTAAAGCTAACCTCTCTCTCATTTGATGACTGCTAATACATGCTGAGAAAGGATGACTTCCCATAGTACCTTGCCCTCTGCCATGCTTCAGGCAGGGATACTTCAGGAGGAGATGATGAATTTTAGGACTGGAAGCTCATGTCTTGCCATTATAGCACTGCGGCCTCTCCAGCCCTGAGGTCCTAGCCATCTGACATGGTCACCAGTGCAGCGCAGGCTTCCAAAACCAGAGACATGTTGTGGAGTTCTTCAGCAGTTTTCCATATCTCACTTGTAGCCGTAGTTTGCCTCAGGCCTGTCTGTGGATGTGTGCTGGCATGGAGGGTAGGCATGATTTTATGTCACACAACATGGTCATGGTATGCAGCTTATAAAGTGCCTCTGTTCCTAGCATGGCTGTGTTTGCCTCAATGGCCAGCAGATTTTAGTTGAAGCAGAAGTGACATTTCCGTCACTGAAACCTGGTGCTTGGTAACTGGTATGGTCAACCAGGACCATGAATTTGTCTGAGCAAAAAGTATGTTGGTAGGCAATGTCATCTTACTTGAAAGAGCGCACTGCCCCCACCCACATTATATAAGTAAACACAGTATTTTGTTTGGCAGCCATCAAGATGAAGAAAGGTCAATACCCAAATCACGTTCTCTGACTGTGACGCTACTCTGTGAATAGTGGGAAGCGACCACTTTCTGTTTTGAAGGAAGAGCGGCCAGTATCTGTGGCCTGGATGACAATGCATGTGCATATATATTCCTGCATACAGGAAGGGATTTTGGCCACAGTGTGCTTCTTCCCTGGAAAGGTGCTATGTCCAGAAGAGAGCGAAAGTTCAGATGCATCCCTCTTGGCACTGTTTCACGTTGGCTGGCTGTAGCTCCTTCTGTTTGTGAGCATTATATATTCTGAGTCTGTTTTTTGAGTCCACAGCTGGCGCCTGACTTTTTGGCTTCATAATATTTAGCATCCAAACATGTGAGCCTCTTCTGGGGTCTGGGCCATCATTCCTAACCTGTACAGATTGTTAACTGGAGTTTGACAGTTGATCTGCTTAGCTGTGTTTGCAAATTCTGCTAAAAATGCCATGATTTTTAGGTGTCTAAATAGTTTTATAAACCTATTCTTACACCTTTCAGTTAATTGAAACCTGTCTTTGGCGTGCTGTGCAATTCC